GAAGCAGACATACAGAAAAAAGCAGAGTTAGAAAAAGCAGCTTTCAACAAGCTCAACAGGTGACCCCGTCCAGGAAACACATAGCCAGGCAGATGAGCGCCGAGCCAGCTCCCATGTAAGAGGATGAAGAGAGCACATCCAGTTAGTCACAGTAGAGAAACAGGACTACACTGGAAAACAGGCCAAGCTCCAACATCTATAAACAAAGGTGTTGATGGCAGCAGCACAGCTGATATTTATCCAGGATTATGTTACAGTCAAACAGTAACAGACCAGATGAAGCTACTGTGATCAGAAAAAGCAAAGAGAGCATAAAGTTATGGGTTTAACTAACTGCAGAATGGGAGAATAAAGCAGAATGATGAAAAAGGGTCCCTATGTGCTCCTGCAGTCTAAGCCTATAGCAGCGTAACTATAGAGATATCTCAGCATAGCCAACTTTAAGCTTTATTAATAAGGAAAACCCTCTTCTCATTTTAGAGTCTCCATACAATTGGAAATGATGCTGCAATGGCTCAATAGACACACGATTGTATGATTCATGAGGCGGTTTTAAACCCGCAGGGCATATCCGGAGCACTAAGCCTAAAGAACACCATCGCCTTTGGTGTTTTTTCGTCCCTCTTCATGTCTCATGTCAGACTGACGTGATGGAAACATCCAGAATGTCTCTCAGTCTTTTTCTTGCCGAGTTTCTGTTCATTTCACATTTTAGACATTAAATGGAAAAGTTGCGTCATATAATGTTTTGTTTGTTTCTTTTTGTTCTTCCCAGCAGTGACAGAAATCAGTTAAACTAAATGGAAAAGAAAGGCTGAAATGAGATGCAGCAGATCTTCTACATGCGGATCATTATTGATGACTACTTTTATTGTAAAGCAGCTCAGAGTCGTAGTGTTTTGTGGAAACACTCCCCCTCTTACGGCTCAGTTATCTTCATTTACATCTGCTGTAAGTTTGTGTGAAGGAGAAGAAATGTAAACCATGGTTTCTTCTCTGACTGTGTCAAGACAAACCGCTCCCCCACACAGACCTACATCTGCTCACATGCTAGAGAGAGAAAACAGCCGTGCGCTGTGGTAGACATATTCAAAGTACACGTAAGGTATCATAAAAAATGTGTGTGTGCGTGCATGCTTGAAGGTAGAAATTGGTTTGGGTGCGAGGTGTGTGTGGAAGCTTTAAAGCTATTGTTTAATCTTCTTAAATGCTTAAATTTAAAAGACAAAAAAGTAAATTTGTTACCACACTTTCTGAATTTTTTATTTATTTGTTTTTTTTGCAGTAAAATCTGGTTTCCTTTGAAAGCACAAACATATGAACGTTATGTCAACTAAATATTTAAACTAGAGATTACCCCCGGCTTCCAAATTCATAATGTAGGATTAGTTTTTCTGTGAGTCTTTCAAATAAAATGGTGCTGACCCAAACCACTTAGATGGACTCCTGCCTCCCTGTGACTTCAGACCAAAAAAACTGTTTCCTGTCCCTGCTGCAGCGCTTACTGTTTAGTAACCTTTACTGTTAATTTTATACTCTTCTATACCCTGCATAGTTCTCTAATGTGCAAACCTCATGTATGAAGAAAGACCTTCTGATAGGAAGCTTATATGTGTTTTATATATCATTTTTTTTTAAAGTCAATATTTTAAGCAAACTAGAAAAGCTCAATTAACTTTTTACAAAGTTGTTTCACAGTCTTAAAAATGTAAAACAAGAAAAAAATACCCTGAACTGTATTTAACAGAGGGAACCGTCATAGTTTCATAACAGCAGTTTCCATCACCGCTTCACATGTGGTCAAATTAACTAGAAAAGCGCTGTACAAATATATTTATGGAGATATTTTTCTGGTATCTTTTTAATTAATTTCAATTCAGTTGATTTTCGTCAAACTAAACCCAAGTCGTAAACAGACTCCAATTCTGTGTGATTTAATCTGAGTATGAATTCTGCTATTTGCCTCAGGTTTGTTAGAGAAAATTAATGCAAAAAAGGGAGGGGGGGAGGAGGCAGATAACTCAGAGATATAGTTATCGAGAAGCTTATTTTTTCGCAATGTAACTGAGGTTATGTTTGATAAAGATCTCATTGTTTTAACATGAAATGTAATCAGAAACAATTTACTATTACTATTTTATACCCCATGCAATAACCTGTTTCTCTATATCTGACACCCAGGGCAATAACTATATATATAAATATAAATATCCATCTATATGAAAACCCATATAAACACCCTGTGCACACTGCAAAAAATGGAAATCTAAATCAGTCATTTTTTCTTAAACTAAGTGCATTTGTTCTTGAATTAAGGAGGTAAGTGAGATGCTTTGCCAATGGAACAAGACAATTTACATTTAAAATAAGAAAAAGCAACCTCATTGTCTTATTTCAAGTGAATATTATCTAATAATCTTATTTTAAGAGTAAAAATACTCATTCCATTGGCAAATCATCCCATTTACCTACTAAAATGAAGGGTTAATACACTTGAATTAAGACATTTTTGCTTATTTCTAGACCCTACTATGAAAAAAGACACACAAAAAAAGCTGTCTTAATTGGATGCACTGTATATAGTATATAATATATCCCATGCACCTTTTTCTTTCATTTGGCACATTCTTCTGACTAATTGAGCTGATGTAATGAGTAAATTTCTCCACTGTGAGATCAGTAAATTGAATCAATCCATCAATCAAAAAGATGGGCAGTGCCCCACAACATTTTGAAAACACTGCAATTACAAGTTGGAAAGTCAGGTAAACAAGATCCACAGATTTCACATTCAGCACACCTGCTACTCACATCAGCAGCGGTAAAACATTTTTACTTTGTTTTGAACAGTTCTTTTTATCTATATCACATTTGCAGTAGTAGACAAGGTGATTCAAAGATGTGTATAGGCACAGAAGTCCAGCACAGAACTGTCTTTTTGTAATTATTGTTTTAATAGTAAGCCTAATGGCCTTATACAAACAAAGACAATAGGAGTGTCCAGTAGTTAACTGGAGAGTCACTATCTCAGAGAATACATTACTCCAACTTTCGAATTCTGAGCTTTAAGATTTATAGAATAAAATTTTATTTGTATACTTTTTTTATTAGCATACATGGAGCAGACAAGCACACAATAGACTGTCATTACCTTAGTTTTTATTATAAAGGGGAAAAAACACCAAAAAAAAGAAAATGCGGGTAAAGGTAGCATTTCTTAAACCCAAGAAAGTGATTTTAAAGAATTTAAGAATTTATGGAAGTCACTTAGTAAAACGAATAACTAGAGGTACTGTACTGCTTATAGAGCATTTGTAATGTATGTAAGTTTATTTGATTTTCACTGCAAAAGAAGAAGACGGCGACAGTGGAGGTAAAAAGCAATAAATTATTTGGTTGTTTTTATATCTCTTAGAATTTTTAGGTAGACCAAATAAAGCTACATGGGGTGATTTTTTTTTTAAGTTTGTGGAAACTATTTCAGAGATAAAAGAAAGTTAAAATTATTCCACTAGTTTAATAGTGATTGGTAAGAAAAACACTAATGGGTCAGATGGAGAAGTACTAAGATTAATCAAAGCTTTGAAAATATTAGGAACCCTTTTAATCCATCATCACACACCTGAAAATACTGTGTTGCAGCCTATTAAGAATTAGATTAATTCATTTTTTGCAAAATTATTAATGTTAAAGATCTAAGGTTGTGTGAATGGTAGAGCTATTGTTTATTTGTTTATGTATTGGTTTTGCTTTGACACTCCTCCTTGTCAGTCCGCCTCCTGCTGAGATTAACAAGTAGAAACAGCTGATGAGGTGGATCTTAACTGAAAAATACTATATCTACTGAAGGAGCTGCAGAGAGCTGTTATGTACTGTTAGAGAAACCTTCATAAAATGTGGAAAGAAATTTCCTGTGACCAAATAAAAACAAAACATATGTAACAGAAAAGCACATTACATTAACCTTTTATAGGGCACTGAGTGAAATACTTTGAAATCAATGTCAATGTAAGGAATTCAAGTTAGAGTGAAACAAAACAATTTTTATTTGGTACAACATTACCTTAGAGGCATTAATGCTGATACTGGCACTTACATTTTTTAGTTTATAAACCTAAATATAATTGTTAACTAGGCTTATTAACTTTTCTATTAGCTCTTTACCTTTTTTATTGACTTGTTAACTTTTTTTCGCGAACTTCATTTACTGTAGATAATATATCATTCAAGGGCTCATCTACTTGGTCAAATGCGAAGGAAGATGTACAGCCATGTAGCAGCATCTTTGCTGAACGGCTGGATATAGATCTAGTGCTTCTAGACCTCATTGAGAGACGGAGGGGACTCCATTTGTAAGAGGTATGCAAGTGATCAAAAATGGTAACTTGGCCTATAAAGAGTTAAGAGTATCATCCCTGCTATGAAACATGGTGGTGGAAGCATCATGCTGTGGAGATGCTCTTTTACAGCAGAAACATTGTAGCAGCAGACTAAGTGAAGGCAAAAGTGCAGTTTGCTTATATGACCGGGCCTCAGCTCGCAAAGAAGAATTGCCAAAAGGTTATATTTTTAGATATTTAAAGTACAGATGAATATTTCATGTTTTTATTTGATTTTCATCATTCGGCTACATTCTACATTAATTCTCATTTTTCATTATTTTTTAGTTAAACCTCAAACTTGATGTTATTTCAGATAAACTGAGTTTAACTGAATTTGTAAAAGAAACATTTTAAAAACATTTAATTCCACATTAATAGATCATTTTTAAGCTTCTCTGTTATATCAAATCATTTTGACAATATGTGGAAATGTGTGGTTGTAACGGGAAGAGCGCAAGGCACTGAAAAACTGAAAAGGCACTGAAAATCATTAAATAAGATATAATATCTGAGGTTATATGAGGTCTAAAAACAAGAAAATGCAGTTTATCTAAAATAGTATAATAAAAATACACTTAATTGTACAAGTGACAAATATTTGCCATTTTAATGCAGATATTTATTTTACGTCAGATTTGTTTTTATTTACAGAATATTGTGAAACATGAAAGCAACAAAAAGAAACAGATGTTCTTTAACAGTTAAGTTCATCTAAACAGTCGTAACTTAACCAAGAAGTGACACATTATTAAAGCAATGGCTTACTTTTATAAAGCAATGCAATACAGAGAAAATTATATCAGTGGATAGAATACGTTTTTTATATTTAAGTCTCTGTACTGACAGAGACTGAGGGAGCAGGACCGGGATCTTCCTCCAGAAGAAAATAGTTTGCAGTTTCACGGTGGTGGAGGGTGGGAGATTTAGCATTGACTTCTTTCTACTTCTTATTGATTTCATCATATTCAGATCTTCCTCGGTGTATCAGTTTCTGAAACAGTAAAGTCCAAAGTGAATTTAGAGATCATTGATTCATCATAATGAATGAATAATTAATGGAATCATAAAAACCCTGAACTGGCTCACCTGGTAGTTGTCGTCATTCTGCACTTCATTACGAACCAGTTTCTCCCTATCAGACTCTGCGGGCGACATTAAAATGAAGACAAAATGATCCAAAGATACTCTAAGTTGTCTATGTTTCTGTTTTAGGAGACTGGGAGGATGACATCAATAACACTTAAACCTCAGTTATCTTTACGGTATTTGGACTGGGGCCAGAACCTGGCCCAGGTATTTTCCCTTGTGGCGGCCGACCATGATTAGGTACATATGCAAACATTGAGTGGTTTCAAAAATAAATATATTTTTTAGAAATTAATCAAGTGTAAGAATGCTATTTGTCAGAGGTAAGGTTTAAAAATAAAAACTATAATAACCCTTATAATATACCCTGTATTTCCAGCCCTGGACATTATAGACAACCTTGATTATACTTTTCATCTTTCTGTTTTGCTGTGAAAGTGTTCCAAAAAAAGTAAAAAAAATAAAATAAAATAAAAAAATAAAACGTTTGAAGATGTCAGAAAATAGCATTGTGTTCCAAGGCTTTATACAGTACTCTAGACAGCACACAAATTCTGACATTTTTTATTGAAAAAGCTGGATGGGAAGTGAAACGTCTTCAAACTTGGAAACAAAATCCAGTGGATTGTTGTTGTTTTTTACTTTTTTGGAATGACTATGATCTGGATAACTGAGAATCTTCACCAGTGAAACTGTTGTCAGGCAGAAGCCTTTATCAGAACAGTTGTAAGACAGTCCGCTACAGGATGCCTACAACCATCAGCATCTAGAGTTAATATTTAGGTTCCCTTTACCATCTATAAAGTATTAGATAAACAATTGCAAAGTATATTACATTACTAATAAATAAATTGTTTATCTTTTTATGAATATTCAATATTCTGTGATTGTTTTTGGAACCAAAAGCAAGAATTGTGTACCTCTGATTATGGATTTCTATTTCATTTAAATAGAAAGATGCTTTTTAAAATAAAAAAAAAATAAAAAGGAAAAGAAAACTGAACTCAAGGGAAAAGGGAAACGTGATACACTTGTTTTGTTTATGACCATTTTTATTACCGAGCTGTTCAAATAAGAACTGAATCATTAGTATTTTTGCATGTATTTTTATTATTGTTAAAAGAAGCTTAAGCAATAAATGCACAATCTGCTGAATGTTACTTTTTTGTGCGATTATTTGATTAATCATGAAAAAAATCAATAGAGTAATCTATATATATTTGTTTTCTACAGCTTTAGTCTCCAATATAAAGACAACTAAATTATTCTCACCTTAAGTTCATTTAAGTTCATCAATTTGGCCGAGAGTTAAATAAAGCAGTGCTGTTAAAAAAAATGTGTAAAGTTCCACTTGCACCAGTGTTCTGGATTGCTTTTTTAAAATGTATTTATCTTTTTACTTTAAGAAAATGGGACTCTATTTAAATAAATCTGAACTCTTCTAGAAATCTTTAAGGTCAAGTTACACGCTCCTGTCTTTGGTTACAAAAACATATAAAAATAGATTTTCCTCCAAAAGCTAAACTGCCAATTTATTAGTATTATGATGTATAATAAAAATAAGCTGCATTCACCTGCCCCCCTCTCTGTTGTTACATAATGAATGGATTCTCCCTGCTGACCAATCAAAACAAACCTCTAGAGAAAGTAAAGGTGGGGACCCAGCATGGAGGGAGATTATCGGGGCTGAGAGTTGAGCTGCAGCGTCCAAAGCTAGGACCATTCCAGCCATTAAATTTAAAGTGACCATATACTTTTAGAGCGTTATGTCTTTCTCTGCGCTCCCTTTTACCTGTTTCTATCACCCCGACCCCCCTTTATTGTGCATAACCGCATTATCAACGGGGTAGGCTATCATTAGCAGAAGCCACCCGCCTGGATGACGGCTGGAAGAAAATTTGCCCGATTAATTTTAATGATCGAGTTCTTCGAATTAATCGAGGAATCATTAAAGCCCTAATCAGACCATCATGTGTTTTGGCTGTGGCAATTTAATTCGTTTCCATTAGCAAGATATATCATTTTACTTTATAACCATAGCCATATGAATTAAGTTAACGCCTATATTTAACGGAAAGGGCCTTCTGAGAAAAAACTGTATCACATAGATTTCATATGTTAAAAGTGTGTATTTTATGCATGGGAGATAAAGACAGGCAGGGTTTTACTTTTCTTGGCAGGTTTAACTTGACTAGTCCGAGCTTGAGTAGCGATCAGATAGACGGCCACTCCAACCACGATGGTAGCCACCACGTCTCCGACCGCCAGGCCCACGATGGAGGGGGTATCAAGCTCTACACAGTTGTCGCACGCTAAAAACAAACAAATCATTTCTTAAATAATTGATGTCAACACTTGGTTTCTTGTTAGCATCAAATGAAGGTTGTATACATATATAATTAAATTACAAATTTGATTTAAAAAAAAAGAAAGAAATACTTTGATGCAATGACAGTTTATCAGGAAAAAACATTTCTGTAGAACTTACTCCGTAGTTTAACAAATATTTTTTCTCCTTCTTTGTCTCCTACATTCTCACACTTGTATTCCCCACTGTTATCATCGCGGTAATACAGTTTCAACCTCTTGGTGGATTCATAACCATTTCCAGAGATGTTTTTCTCTTTACAAGATAATTCAATATATTCTGCAAAATTTTGTACGTCTATTTCTCCGGTTGCTGTAATAAAAAAAAAAACATTAAATCAAACACCAGCTCAGGTTAATGATTTGTAGAATTGGTTTTACAAGATAGACATGAAATAAAAATGGCAGTTTGGTGCTATTAGACAAAATAGTGTTATTACCTTGCATATTCACACCACTCCAAAATGCTGCAGGAAGATTTAGGGGGGAAAAAACACAATGAAACAGAATGAAAATGACCATTTACATTCTCATACAATGATTATAAAAACATGAACGGGAAAGAAAAGCAGCATCACTTCTTGAGTTTGTATACCATTGAAAAACTCAATTGGGTGACATTTCAAATATTTAAGGTAAAGCAAACAAAGATCCTGCAGTTTATTGCCGGATTTGCCCACAACATAGAGGAGCATCCTGAGAGCTATAGAGCCGCTATGCACACTCTGTCCATCAGGTGATTTTGAATATTTTTCTTAATGGAGCTCTAACTATCTATGTCAAAAATTTAAATTTACAACAGCTGAATGATTTTTGCACAGATCTGACCCACCCTATTTACAGCTTTAAGCAAAGGACTTGTAACCCTGGGTAATTGACATATATGGTGATTTTTTTTCTTTTAGTTTTTTTTTATTATTAAATCAAAGTTTTACTGACAAGTTGAAATCTTCCATAAATGGAAGATGGCATGTTAAGAAAAATTGTTTGTCTTTATCCCTTTTGCTTTTAGTTAATGCCCTTAAATATCCAGTAACTTACTTAAAAGCAAAACCAAGTGCAACTAGAGCATCATTCTTAGATACCACCAGCTAATTCTGAATATCTCTTCTGATGAGATTAAAAGTGATTTTTCAAAATATAAAACACAAACTTTTAACTAAACTAAAATGGGTTTTTTTGTTTTGTTTGTTTTTTTATGTTTTTACCGGCTGGATGTAGGCAAATATTATAATAAGAAAACTGGAAACAGTTTTCCTTTTTAAAAGAAAAAAAAATATAGCATTAAACAAACAAAATCTTTATATGTTTTTACACACAAAAAAAAAAAAAAAATATATATATATATATATATATATATATATATATATATATATATATATATATACATACAAATTTGTTGTCCCCAACCAGTTTTAATTAGGTCTTTGACCCACATTGTAAAATGTTTGGACGTCTCTGGTTTAAGTGTTAAACGTTGTCGTTTAAATCTCACCATTGTTATGATTCTGTTATGATTCTTAAAAGTGCATTCCACTGATATCTCAAAAGTTTTAAGAATGTAAATACATAAAGACTTGTGTCCAAATCAGAAAATCATCAACCTGTCCTATGGGAGCTGGTCATTTCCCCTTATCTTTATGTCATAACTTTGTAGCTTTGGTCACTCTGTGCTCGATATTTTGGGAACATCTTTGAGGCGACTGAGCCAAGATTATCTAAAATTATCTTAGTATTAGCTTGTATTCGACATTGTGAGCTCTCACTCATGGTTCGATTTAGGGAAACTTGCAAAAGCTGTTGTGTCTGCATTAAGAAAGCAAAGTTTTAATCATAAACTGTGATTAAAACTTTAAGCTATGTATTAAAGCAGGTGGACTGGCGGCCTGTCCAGGCTGTACCCCGCCTCACGCCCACTGACAGCAGGGATAAGCGTGACGATGGATGGATGGATGGATGGATGGATGGATGGATGGATGGATGGATGGATGGATGGATGGATGGATGGATGGATGGATGGATGGATGGATGGATGGATGGATGGATGGATGGATGGATGGATGGATGGATGGATGGATGGAGTTACAACTAGGGAGCTTCTCATTTACTTTGAACTGTTAAGGGTGTTTTAAGGGCGACTGGGACTAAAATCTCTGGAAATAGTCTTTTTTAAAAGTCCTCAGAAGATGATTTTATTTATATTTGAAATGTTAAATTTTTTTTCTTTTCTCCAACAATTTAAGACAATTAAAACTGCACAGGAAAAGAAAACACAAGCGAATGATAAAATTGGAAATGGTTGTAACAGGGTCCAAAACGGAAAAAGAAAAAGGATCAAAACGGCATGTCTATCATTTGAATGTAATACAACCCTGCTGCACACACATAACATATGTGGCTAAAACCAGTTTTACTTTTCAACAAGACTAATGTGAGGATAATTGATATTGCGTATGTATGCAAAAGAAAGTGTTAAGAATAATTATTCACAAACATTCTGATTTTAGATTAATGTAGAGAAAACAGTGGAAGGAGAACTGACTAAAATTGTTCTGAAAACAACTAACCTGAATAAACAACGTTAGATGTAATTTTGGGTCATTTGGAGTAAAATCAACAAGATAGAAAACGTACCTGCCAGAGTCCAAAGAAGCAAGAGCTGATATTTCATGGTGATCTACCTCTCTGCTGCTTTTCTAAAGATGGAAGGAGATGCAGAGGCATCAGAAAGCTTATCACACACAACCGGAAGGCTGCCATTTTCTCATTCTGGTCAACCATTTTATTCTACCCAACATAACAACTAACATGAGATGAAAAGCAACTTTTTAGCTTCTGCCATCAAATTAATACTATATCTGAGTCTCAATTCAAATATGTAATCTGATTTTTTTTTTTTTATTGGAAGTTAAAGATAAAACACTAGAAGTCATTAATAAACACGGTTTTAGAGTTTTATCAAAAGCAAACAGATTACATGAGGTAAATATGAAATATTGTGTAAATATGACACTGTATTGAATAAAAAATACTAACCTTAAACCAAAGAAGTGTTTGGTCTCGGCTGCTCAACGACTTAGTTTCTGCCTGCTGTCGGTGCGTCTCCGTCTGTCTCTTTGTGAGGTAGAAGGAAGTTACTGTGATTGGTTTGTTGGTCTCATCACATTGTCGATTTTATCTGGAACCCGCCATCATGTCAACATACATTTTAGCATCAAAATCAGCACATTAAAAACTATATTTTCAGCTTTTTTCATTAGGATTGTTTAAAAGCCTATTTGAATAAAACTATACATTTAGTCCAATTCACACAAATTCATATTTAAGACATAGTTTAATCACACTTCCTACTTAAGCCAGGATTTAATATTCATAGGAAAAATATATAATAAACTCTTAGAAATGGTTGTTTCTCCTCCACATATCGCTCTCATTTTTCAACAGACCCAATGAAGTCATGGAATGAAAAATATACAAAGTTGCTTGGTGCAGCACAAGTGTTTGGAGAATTTTGACCTAAAAATGAGTATCTCTAGCTGATGAAAGACAGAAATATATTGGGAATGTTTTCCCATCATATGTGTGAAAGACTGCATTCCCTGTTGAACTGCAGCAGAAACAAAATGAGAGCAGATGCATGCTCCCACAAAATAACTCTGCTTCCTGTTTGCAGAAAAGCCACAGCAACCTGTGACCCAGAGCCAACACCTGGCATGCACACACACACACACATATATATATCCATATCCATTCTCTCCTGCAGCTGTTAGAAAACAAAGCAGGTCGTTTAATTTCTTTCTCACCAGATGCACCATTTTTTTTTAACCAACTCCCAACCATCAATTTCTGCCAATACAGTTAAAAAGATGCACATCACCCTCATGGTGCACAACCTAGTGAAACCATTCCTTAAACCACTTTGGAGCGCCCCCTGGTGTTTACAGAGTAAAATCACAGTATGCTCAGAATTCACTCAGATACCATCTCAATAATACCTTTATTAGACTCTTTTATACATGTATGCATATAAATATACAGGACAGGACATGTGGCATGTTAATAAACGGTTCTATACTCTGTAGTAACGCATTCAGGTTACATTTGACCAAATAAACATTCAGGTTTTAGTAAAGAACCCTAAAACACATTCCATTAATGCAACCAAAGAGACAACATGATGAGCAATATGAGAAAATTTGCTTTGATGAGACGAGAAATCAGCAGCACAAACACCTGAGTACCTGCTTTACTGTACGACAAACATTCATGGGTATGTTTTGTGCATTCGTAGAGGGACGGTTTTTAAAAACAAGGATGTCCTCTGAACTTTGTTCCAGCTTGAAGGTAACTGGTCAGTGGTTGCCTTGCAGAGTGGGGGTTCCTCTCAGACAGCTGCATGGTAAGATGCAGGTATACATGCACAAACAGTAGGGAGAGTTGCTGGATGATCTGTCAGAGCCAGATTTCCTCACTGCTGGTGCTGTTCACCTTATAGATGTAGCCAACCATTGGATACCTGGCAAAACCTGGGAGGACCACAATAAAACACATAAATAGACCTAAACTATAGGGATAAATAATTGAATAAGCAGCCCAGATTTAGTGTTTTTCTTTGACCTCTTGCTGCGTAGGCTAAAGACAGATCTTCCTCCTCCTCTTCCTCTTTCTTCTCCTCTCCCACGCTGTTCTGCTGAGCAACTTCTCGAGCTGAAATGCAGGAAAGAGGAAGCAAAGTGAAACACAAACCTGAAAATCAGTTGTAGGATTTAAAAGAAAATTGAAAAAACATGATTTCCTGAGTAGTTTGCTGAATAGTTTAATCTGATTAACAACTATAAACTGGAAATGGTTTGGTTCTTTTTCACTCACTCCTTCATGTCCAGCCTTCATCATCTGTAAATTAATACATTTATTCTGATTATCTTATATTTATGGATGTTTAAAAATGTAGAGATTCTGCAAAAAAAATGTTTGATTTAGCAATGCATCAATATCAAGTTTACATTCATGAAACATTTTTAACCTTTATTTTTTGGTATCATGCTTTCCTAATTTTTGATTTATTCCAACTTGAAGCTTAAATAATTTCTTCCCTTTTTGAGTAAATGCTACACAGTGGGTTTGTTTGGCCACTAGGATGCGAGTGATCCCTTATAACTGCAGTGAAAAAATGTTTCCCACTGTCTTGTTTTCATAGGATGTTTATATTTTCTCTGTGTTTACTGCATTTTCAGGCTTGGAGGGTTTTGTTTTTCTTTCTCCCAGTTATTATCAGTCACACACAGCACCTCCTGATCTGAACACAAAGTACTACCTCATCAACAAATGATTGTTTTTCTGGTAAAAATCTGAAAAGTGTGTAGTAAACCTGAATTTACAGTTTCCACCATGTTCTAAATTCTACATTATTTTATTGATTTTTGCAAATTAAATTAAACTCAGATAGACTGGATAGAAAACATTCATCAATGTTATTTTTTTCTATTTATGGGTCTGTACTTTAGTTAGGCCATTCTGAGAAATGGTGTTTAACCCAGATGGACGTGTATTTACCTGCTTCAAATTTATACTAAACTCTAATCGGTGGGTCAAAAGCATGATACTGGCACCCCCATGTTTTACAGTAAAGCAGGCATTTTAAAGACATTCTGCTAATTTGCATGTTTAGACTTTTGTTTGATATACTTACCATGTATTTTATATATTTCTTAAGAAAAACTGCAAACAGGGATGATCTTAGCTTTCTCTCAGCAATAGATCTACTCTTTCAAAAAATGTTTGGTTCACAATTGGTCAACAGGTTCCACAAACGGAGCTCTGGATCTCCCCGACAGAAATCATTCGGGGATATTGACATCATGACTGATAACTGATATATAAAATATAAATTCTATAAATTTTTCTTCCCCTTTTGTCGCTGGAAGAAAAGAAAAAAACAACCACACCACTGCTTCAGTTAAATACCCACAACCTTGCTCTGCCTCACCACCACACACCCAGACAAATACCACAAGGGCTGATGGGTAACTGATGTTTCCTACCAACCTGTGAGGCCTTCACAGAACAGCTGAATATGCTGATGTAAACGCCACACACCTAGAATAACTGTTATGTGGCTTCTGAAGGTAACTGGTTGCACTGGATTATTACAGGTATCGTGAGAAAAGCTTTCAGAGAGTGCAAATCTCCTCCAAACAGCATATTCGGACGTATTCCTATAGCTAAAACTCACATGATCTGGATTATAAGCTCATTTTAAAGAATTGTTTCTTGGCATGAGATGCACCTTTGTTTAAAATGTAATTAAAATCCATTCATAACTTTTTGAGTAATCCTGCTAACAAGCAAACAGGAAGAAAAACATAACTTTCTTGGTGGAGATAATAAGAGGATTTAATACAAATTAACATAAAACTTCTTGTATTAAAACAGGTTTCAAAAAATCAAAATCTATATAAGTCATTTTTTTCTTAAAATAAGTGCATTTGTTCTTGAATTGAGAAGGTAAAAGAGACATTTTGCCAATGGGACAAGACAATTTACATTCAAAATAAGAAAGAACAATTGCATTGTCTTATTTCAAGTGCATTTTATCCAAATATCTTATTTAAAGAGTACAAATACTCACTCCATTGGCAAATCATCTCATTTGCCTACTCAAATTAAAGGTAAATACACCTAATTTAAGACATTTTTACTTCCTCTAATAAATTGCCACCTTCTTTTGGTCTATCCCAGGGGTAACAAATAAAAAATCAGCAGGGTGCCAATAAATAAAATCATCAACCAGTAAAGGTCCGGAGACATTTTTAATTATAATCTGATACTTTAAACAGAATTTAACACCAAAATAAAATGAGTTTTTTATGCATTTATCCATGTTATACATTGGCTTTTTAAATGAAAAATAAAAAAAATAAAAAAAAATGAAAATTTTCCCATTTTAAAATCTAAAGTGTTTTTTTTTTTAAGTAGAGAACAAATCAATCTTTTAGTTTGGTATATAGATCATTTCCTGATTCACATATTTTATAAAACACCTGAAGTAACCGTTTTTTTTTTTTTATGGTGGACTTTAGGCTGCCCTGCAAGGCTTTAAACCTGCACTGCAAAAAACATCTAGAAATAAGTAAAAATGTCTTAAATTAAGTCTATTTACCCTTAATTTGAGCAGGTAAATAAGATAATCTGCCAATGGGAGATAATTAGATAATATACACTTGAAATAAGACAAAGCAATTGTTTTTTTCATATTTTAAATGTAAATTGTCTTGTTCCATTGGCAAAGTGTCTCGGTTACCTACTCAATTCAAGAAAAAATGCACTTAAATTGAGCAAAAATAACTTATTTAGATTTCCATTTTTTTGGAGTGTGGGTTTGAATGGAGACAAGGACATTCTCAAGCACATATCAAGGAGCTCATTTTGAGTCTGGATCCATATTTATTCTTGATTATATTCATGGTGGAGAATCCTGCTTCACAGCAGCAGGTTGAGCCAAACATCCTCTAAATGTGCAGGGTCATCTTTGAGCACCATTTCACTTTTCTTTCACCAGTTCACCGCAGTTCTTCCAGCAGTCCACACTTTCTCTGCTCTCTTTTTCTCATTGTCTTCTCCTTCTTTCCCATCGCCCGGCTTGCTAAAGGTTTGCCTGCTGTTTCTAAAAGTAGCAGCAGCAGCAACCCAGACTGACAGCAGCTCATTGGATAATTGGGATCACATGCAGCCTGGTAGAGGGCGCTCCGGAGGGCTTTACCATGTTAACAGGAGAAGCAGTGCAAGTAAAGTTAGACATTGTCGTCTGAAAACATGCCATAATGATTTAATTCAGGTTGGGTCCGGATGACCTCTGGTCTATCCCATAAAATGAGAAGCAAACAAAGACATCATGGTCTTTATGGGACATAATCTAAACAGTTTCTCAAGGATATAGTGGTGAAGATTCTCAGTCATCGAGGTCATAGTCATTCCAAAAAAAGTAAAAAAAAAAAAAAAAATCCTCTGGACTTTCTTTCTGAGTTTGAAGACGTTTTGAATTGAACAAGTTTCCTGGATGGGAAGCGAAACATCTTCAAACTTGGAAACAAAGTCCAGTGGATTGTTGTTTTTTTTCACTTGTTAGTAATTTCTCAGGGATATTTATACTTTTACAT